GGTGGGGGGGGGGGGGGGGGCAATCATTGCCGCTTATGTAGTTTTTCTTTCTAATCTAGATCAATCCTTTCATTTACACATTCTTGAACAACACCACTCCTGTGAGCTATTTTCTTATTTGGGATTTATTTGAAATCTATGTATACAAACTGCCACTTTGTGTGTGGAAAGCATTTATCATGTCTGTAACACACCTCTGCGTTTTTCATTAGTATATGTTGCTCCATCCAATCTCCCCGTGCGTAGTACTTACAGCAACGTATGGAATGCTTCTTTGTGTCCCCCTAGTAGGTGCAAGCTCATTACAGGCAAGGCCATCCTTTATGCCTCCCTGTGTGAGCCTACATGTATGATTTCACTAAGCTAAGCAACAGAAAGTGCTGAGGCCAGGTGTTGGTGATGGGCAAGTGGTATGGGAAGGGTGATTCTCCCAAGAAAATGAGTGAGTTCTCATCAAGCAAGTGAAAGAGAGTGCTTGCTTATGGATTCGACGTGATTAACAGCTGCACGATATGCCCTTGTAGGCAATTTCGTCTGGAAGAGTGTGTCTGTGATACACATGCTGTTTTGCGTGCTGTGGGCTGGCAACTTGGCATACCACTTCTTGCTTCATGCACAGCAGAGCATCCTAAATGAGGAAGAAGGCAGGTGAGCAGCAACTTTTGTTCTTGGGAGGGGTGGGGCAGACCTCAGTAATCCTTCACAGCAGCAAGTTTCCTATGCACAATAATGGTTTACACCCGCTCCCCAAATGCACCTGGAGGAGCAGGGATGGTAATGCAGCCGTTATAGGATGAAGGAAGTGTGGAAATGGTGGAGCCAGGATTCAAACCCAGCATTGCCTCTTGGATCCCACCATCACAGCTCTCATAGCCTTTGCCAATTCCACATTACTGCCAGACAGGCGGACCTTGACCTCCCTATGACTAGTAAGGGCATAGTACAGTATGTTCCAGTCTGATAAGCTGGCGACATCCTGAGTCACTCTTACGTTAGAGTCTTATGTGTAAGTGCAGTCAGCCACTCAGAAGTCAGAACTTTGAGTCAACCTTGTTTGGTGTATCACATATCATCCCCCTTGGTCAGAACCATTTATTATAACCTTCCTTTCTTTGGCTCCCAGTCTTACAAAGAGTCTTTTACTTTCTTCCCCGCTGCTGGAGCATGCAGGCACCATGCTTCAGAGAGTTGTATGTTAGGTGTCACTGACAAAGCATGGTTTGCTCTGGACCCTATATAAACTGGAGAGATGGCCAGGCTGGGTCTGTTGAAGGGGATATATACTAAATGAGTTGAGTCACCTCCATCTTGAAGCCCAAGAATCAGGGTGGACTCCAAGTGGGGACTCCAGTGACAGTAACAACATGCTTATTCTTCAGCCAATGCAAGAGGCTGACACACAACTCCACAAACACACCCTCCTCAGCACTATTAGTTTGATTAATAATACAAGCCCTTATTCTCCCTGCAGGCTCTCCCAGCTCTCTCAGTGTGTGTTTAGATTTTTTATTGGTTCAAGCCCCTGCAAAACACTAACATCTTTAAAAACATAAACTAATGACAAATGAGCCCCTAGGCTGTTTTCAGGGCTGTACCACTCCCAGTGACATGCAGCGGGGGAGCGGCAGCCACTTCAGAATGTGAAACATGGTGTGTTTTCAGGGAGCTGTCTGGCCTGGTGATCATCACAGCATGGATGGCACTGTGTCACAGCTCAGCAAAGTAAGTTCAACTCATCAGTTAAAAACCAAGGTCTCAGGCTGGAAAGATAGCTCAGTGGTTAAGAGCACTGGCTGCTTTTTCAGACGACCTGAGTTCAATTTCCACACCCACAGAGTGGCTTATAGCTGGCTATTTGTTAGCTCCACTCCCAGAGGATCCGATGCCATCTTCTGGTCTCTACAAATACCAGGCATACATGTAGACAAAACACTCAAAAAACATAATATTTTTCAAAATTCATAGTTTTGAAATTATGAATACATAATTTCAAAATGTATTTGAAAGTAAATGTTCTAATTTCCTAATGTACATTGTTGTTAATGGTTTCTATGTCAATAACACTATGCTCAGAAAATATGCTTTGTAGGATATAAGTTCTTTGAAATATGTAGGGAGTATTTTATTATTGAGTCTATAGTGTTTTGGAATAATGTACATGTGAAAACTAAGTGGATTCTGCTAGTTGTGTGTGTGTGTGTGTGTGTGTGTGCACAAGAGAGCACACGCACACGCACACGCACACAAACATTTGTTTGTAACAAGGTCTCCAAACTCAGTATGTAGCAGAGGATGACCTTGAACTCTTGAGCTTCCTCTTCCAACTCTTAAATGCTGAGGTTATAGGCATGTGCTATATATACCTGGCTAGGGAGACACTTGTTAATGGCCAAACCTCCAGTTCCTCAAGAAGATACAGCCATTCTAAATGTGTATGTGCCCAATAACATCATTCCACATAGATAAAATAAACATTGTCAGTTAAAAACAAAAATTCACATTTTTTGTGAAACATTAACGCATTCCACCTATTCATTAACACAAACAAACAAAGGCAGTGTAGATACAGAATATTTTACTTACGCAGTAAGAAACTAGCCCTCACGAACACTCTAGGACACATGATTATGGGTGAAAGAATTGGGGCTGGGGAAGATGGCTCAGTCGATAAAGCCCTTGCAGTGAAAGCCTGAGGACCTGAGTTCAGATTCCCAGCACCCATGCAAAACCAGGTAAATCTGTTATGCATGTAACCCCAGTGCTTAAGAGACTGGAGGGTGATGGGTCCTAGGGGCTTGTTGGGCAGCCAGTCCAGCCAATCTGTGAGTTTTTGATTCAGTAAGAGGTCCTGCCTCCAGAAAAGGTGGACAGTGAGGCTGTTGAGATGCCTCAGCAGTTAGGAGCACCTGCTGCTCTTGAAGAGGACTTGAGTTCAGTTCCCAGCACCCGCATAGTGTCTCACAACAGTCTGTAGCTCCAGTTCTTGGGGATCCAATGCCCTTTTGGCCTCCAGGGGTACCAGGTAGGTATACATGTGGTACTCTTACATACATTTAAAGCAAATGCTTATACATACAAAATGAAAATAAATCTTAAAATAACTGTAGACAGTAATAAGACTGTCAGTGTCAACCTTTAGCCTACACACACACGCGCTCACGCGCGCGCGCACACACACACACACACACACACACACACACACACACACACTCACACACACCCCTAGCAGAATCCACTTTCTTTTCACATGTCCATTATTTCAAAAACACTATAGGCTCAGCCATACAATACTCTACATATTTCAAAGAACTTATATCTTACAAAGTATATTCTCTGAACATAGTGTAATTAACATAGAAGCCATTAACAACAATATAATTAGGTAATTACTGTACATTTGGAAATTAGGAAATTTGCTTTCAAGTACATCTGAGTCAAAAAAAAAAAAGAAAGCACAATGGAAATCAGAAACATCTGGAACTGAAAGGAGTAATGCTAATATTAATGAAATGAGGCTTAAAACAATGTTCAGACATAAAATCTGGACTCAAGTATATATTTGATATGAGGGGTGAGGAGGCTGGTCTGAATGAGCGAGGCTTCAAGCTTGGGAGAACATCAAGCTAAACCCCCCAAAACAAGAAAATAAACATTAAAGCAAAAATCAATTAAATGAAAAATTGATATGCAAAAATAAGAGAACCCATAAGTCAAATATGGATTCTCTAAAACTATCACATTAATAAGCCCTGGAAAGACATAAATATATATATTTGAACAGGATCCTGAAGGGGCATAAGTAAAAGAAACATTAGGGGTAAACAGGAACACACTGCACAACTAAGGAATCAAGTCCTCAGATAGCATTGCAAACAACTTTGTACATTGTACTTGAAGTCCTAGATTAAGTCAGCAAGTCCATCAAAACATTCATCAATGCTGTAAGGCATTTTAGGGAATTTCTATTCTGGACTTGATTTATAAAATTCATTTATTGTTCAGGTGCTGGAGACTGAATACAGAGTTTGTACATGCTAAGGCATTTGTTCGACTGGTGAGGTATAGCCCCAGACTTCCTTACTTTTTTATTTTGAGGCAAGGTCTCAGTTGCCCAGTCTGGCCTTGAACTTACTCTCTACCAGGCTGGTCTTGTATTTTCAAGCCTCCTGCCTCAGGCTCCTGAGTAGTTGGGATTACAGGCCTGAATCAAGAGGTCTGTGGCCATCCACTAGAGCATGGTCAGCCTATCAGAGACCACACCCTTAAAGAAAGCTGACTGTCCCCTCCTCCAGCAATCATTAACTCCCCAGTTTGGGCTGGGGATAGGGGACCACAAGCCCCTCCTCATTCAGCTGGATTCTCCTAACTTCTTGGAAGTTTAGTTCATCACTTTTCAGTCTTTTTGTTAAGTAGGACTTCAAAATTTAAAAATTTTCCCTAAAATACAACTATAGACCTAGATGGCATAGCTGATGAAATCTAACATTAAGGAAGAACAATGCTGACCATTAGCAAAAGCCTCTGGAACAGGAAGAAGGACTCTCATGATGAGGGCAGAACAAGCTCTTTAATAAAATTTACCAAAAACATTTAAAAAATAAAATTATAGTAATTTTACTCATAAGCACAGGTGGCAAAGTCTTTAAAGATTTTATTGCCACTCCGGGTAGTGGTGGCACATGCCTTTAATCCCAGCCCTTGGGAGGCAGAGGCAGGCAGATCTCTGTGAGTTCAAGACTAGCCTGGTCTACAAGAGCTAGTTCCAGGACATCTTCCAAAGCCACAGAGAAGCCCTGTCTTGAAAAACAAAACAAACAAGATTTTATTGCCACAGGGGGAAAAAAAAAAAAAAAAAACTCAAACAACAAAATTTCCAGAGAAAGCAATAGTGTCTTCAAGACCTTGGGAAAGGCTGAGCAGGGTGTTACATCTTCTTATACCAACAGTGTGTGTGTGGGGGGGCAGGAGGATTGCTACAAGTTCAAGGCCAGCCTGAGCTACATAACAAATAAAAGGCCAGCAAGGGCTACTCAGCAAGACTGTCTCAAACAAAGAGTCTCAGGGAAGGAAAGATTTCTTATGAGGGAAACAAAAAAAATAGGGAAAGATCAATTTTAGTATAATCTAATTAATATTCCTCAAAACATATATCAAATTAAGTATATAGAGATTTTGTGCAAATATTAGTTTCATAAAGGGAAACTACTAAGATGTAATGGTTTACCAATTCAAACTTCATGCCTATTTCCAAACAATTTGTTTTCTTGGACTTTACCATAATTTTTATTTTTATAGGAATCCAGTTGGTGGAAGAATGCACTTGACTATTGCTGTTGTGATCGCTCTTTTCCCACTCATTTCATGGGTTTATGTGTACATGAACAAGGAGATGCGGGCCTCCTGGCCTACTCACTGCAAGACAGTCATTTAGATGAACTCAATGTTTAAATTAGTATTTTCAATATTTTATACACACCAGTGTATAAATAAACTGGGAAACAGGGCAGTTTCCTGGTTTGTTTCAAGAAATCTGAGTGAATCCTAGAGATGATTTAAGGTCTTCAGAATTTAACAAGGCTGCTTACAACAGGATGGAAGACTGAACAGGACAGGTAAGAAGTAAGGCCTGATTCTCCAGAGGCCTCTTCTCTGGCAGTAGTAGAACAGGCACTGAGCAGAAATTTGAGTTTGAATTCAGCTTTCGCCCTGTATGAGGAGGCAAAACCAGGATATCAGAACCCCTCAGTTCCCCCTCCCAAAGTGATGTGAAGGCACTCTGAGAAGATAAAGTGTGTGAGGATCCCAAAGAGCTGTATGTTTGTGTGTGTGTGTGGGGGGTTGGGTAATATGCAGACATAGAGCTAAATTCAAGAAAATACTGCAATCCCAAACTAACCTCAATATAGTTACCTGGCTCAGTGACGCAAACTAAGGAAAACTCTGCAATAGGTGAACCAAATGATAGACTTGTCTTGTAATCAAAGTAGAAAAACAGTAGAAATTATAGAAAAGATGAGTTTGAACAAGAGGGAGCTCTTGGCCCCCAGACTGATCACTGGGAAACCAGCATGGAACTGATCCAGACTCCATAAATGTGGGTGTCAGTGAGGAGGCCTCGGAAATCTATGGGGCCTCTTGTAGTAGATCAATCAGTACTTATCCCTAGCATAGAAATGGACTTTGGGATCCCATTTCACATAGAGGGATACTCCTAGACACACAGGGGAGGGCCTAGGCCCTATTCCAAAGGCTATGACAGACTCTGAAGACCTCCCCATGGAAGACCTCACTCTCCCTGGAGAGCAGAAATGGTATG